GTTTATCTGCTAGAGAACAGAGATTCTCAGTTGCTTTAAATAGAAGGTGACATTAAAACCAGACAGGTCAGAAAATTCAGGCTAAGTGACTGTTGCACTTGGTTTAAGATTTTAAAGTCTTCTAACTTCTCATCTTCAAATGTCTTTTGAAGATGAAATACTCACATGCCTGTGGAATGGGGTCACTCCTCACCTGCCTGTGGGTAATTTGGATCCACAGACGGAACACCCCCTCCTCTGCATCCAGCAGTTACAATCCCTCCACCCACCCAATCCTCACCAAATATTTGTTGGAACTCTTTTTTTTTTTTTAAGATTTTTATTGGGGAATTGGGGGGATGGGAACAGTGCTGGGGAGTTGGGGGAAAGGGAACAGACAAGCCTCTGTCGTTTTTGTTCTTCAGTCTAGTTGTGGAGGACGTTGCTTCACTGGCCCAAGTTGGCACCATCATTGCGCTCTTCCCAGGCGAGGCACATCAGTCGCTGGCTGCTGGCTACACACGGTAGCCCATGGCAACCCACTGCCACAGGGGCTGCAGCCTATGCTGTCGCCGGTAATTCATGGCAGCCCAGCTCCAGGTTGAGCTGTTGTTCAGCTTCTTAGCTGTAGAGGGCAGTGTCACTGGCCCTCATATGTGGGATCCGAACCGGGGCCCTCTGGCATCCCAAACCAGTTCTTAACCATCACGCCACTTGGCAGGCCCTGTTGGAACTCTTAACAGGAAGCAAAATGACATTGTTCAGGTCACCTGATTAGGTTGTTTTAATTTGTTCAGGCTGCTATAACGGAAGACCGTAGACTGGATGGCTTGTAAATGACAAACTTATGTCTCACAGTTCTGGAGGCTGGGAAGTTCAAGATCAAGGTGTTAGCAGGTTTGGTGTTAGGTGAGGGCCTGCTTCCTGGTTCATAGGCTGCCTCTTCTCTGTATCCTCACATGAAAGGTGTGAGGAGCCCTCGGGAGTCCCTTGTTTTATAAGGGTGCAGGCCCCATTTATGAGGGCTCCACCTTCATGACCTTATCACCTCCCAAAGGCCCCGCCTCTTAATACCCTCACCTTGGGGATTAGGTTTCAACATATGAATTTTGGGAGGCCACAAATTCGGCCTATGTAGGCATTTGTCCTCTGATGTGTAGTGGAGTGGACGGAAGGATAAGGAACAGGTAGGACGACAGGGGAGGGGCATGAAGAGACCTGAGGTAGATGGTTGAACCGTCTCCGCCGCCCCGGTCACTGCAGTGTCCAGTCCTGATCGGCGCTACCCAGACTCGGCTTTTCCTGCCTGGCCCACAGCTCTCATCAGCTGAGACGAGCTTCTGCTTCTCCTGCAGGAGCAGCCTTCGAGTGCCCCGACTGGGCTGCTCCTTTTTCAGTGGACTCAGATGCAAATGTTGCTTGCTCTTTGGTGCCCTGGAGAAGCGCAGGTAGAGGCCTCTGAGGTTTGGACCTTTTGTGAGATCTGATGAGTCCATCCGCGTTCTCCTTGGTGTCTGCCTCGCCAACCTCTCTACCGCTCCTTCCTCGGGTGGGGAAGATAAATGAAAATCCCAGTATTCAGTCCGTGATATTGTGATGACTGTTTCCTTTGAGCCTCTTGGCAAAGCCCTGCTTGCTTTAGAACTGTACATCATATTGGATCCATTGAGAGCCATTATTTATCTGACAGGATATTTATAAAAGCCAGCATTAGCTGCAGCTCCAAGTCAATATGTTTCTCTCTTGCTGACACACATCACACCAACAGGCTTGAAATATTTAAATACAATAGTCCCTTCAAGAAATCATTAATTTTTCTATCATCGCCAGAAGTGATAATTTGATGGAAATGGATTTAGCTGAAATAGCTGAGCTGACTGGAGTGGATACTTTCAAGTGTGTGGACTTCAGAGACTCCAGCGTAAGACCCAGCGAGGGTCCAGTGAGGACCAGGACCCCAAGTGCCAGGCTCGCCTCCAGGCGCCATCCCACCCACTTCAGTCAGGAAGGCTGCCGGCTCTGCAGGAAGATGTGGAAATATGAAGGAGAGGAAATGAAATGGGATGCACTACCTCATTACGGCTCTTTCTGTCCCTGCACGTCTCCCTCCTGCTTCTCTCCTGCCTTGCCTCCCCCTTGCCCTCTCTTTCTTTTATCCTCCTCTCCATTTTTCTCTGCCTCTTCCCCTGGCTTCATCTGTGCTCTTTGATCTTTGTCTTCCCTTATTCACATTTCCTGCTGTGTGTGGCTGTGTTGAAATTGAGGACAGTCTTAAGTGTCTTTCCCAGGGTCACTGCTCTGGAGAGGGGCAGGGTCAGGGACAGTGCCTCTGTGTGTGTGTGTGTGTGTGTACGCGCGCGCGTGTGTGTGAGTGTGTGTGTGTGTGTGTGTGTGTGTGTGTGTGTGTGTGCGTGTGTGCGCGCTCGGTCCCTCCCCAGGATTCCTCATATATCATTAATACAGAGGATTTCCCTGACCCTTCACAATACGGAACAGGGAGTCAAACTGGGAGACTGTTTGGACAGAGGCAGGACTTGGACCTCGTCCCACTGTCCCAGGCTTTGTGTTCCTGGGTGTTTCCTGACCAGAGGAGAGAAGTTTTGCAACTCTCTGATCACCGAACTAGTATTGTGTTCTTTATCAAAGCGGCTTTGCCGTTTTGTATCAGGAATGGTTCATCTGCTTTGAAGCTGAGGCACAGGATAAGATAGGAGACACAGTTTCTTGAGTAGTTTTTGATGACAAATCTTGATTGAGCCAGGGGGCAGAAAAAACAAACAAACAAACAAACAATTCAGTGTTGAGTTCCACTGTCACGTTAGGTCATCCTTGGCATTTTCCTTTCAGGTTTTTCTCTCAGCCAAATTTGCAGTGAGGCAGGAATCTAGAAGCCCAGAGGAGCTGCGGGCAGAAGGGTGAGGAGGGTCTCCAGATGCCTCCTGTACTGCTATCCACCCTGGTAGCAATGCCACCAGGGCCACCCAGCCCCATCGTTACCCCTTGCTACTTTGTCAAAACAGTCATCCCCTGTATCCCATTCCTTCTTTTCTCCCTTCTGACCTAGTGTCACCTATAGTTGTGATGAACTCTTAGCTCTAGGCCATTCCCCCCCCAAAATAAAGATAGAATAATGACTTAAATTCTGAGTTCAAAGATCTTACAACATAACTGGGATGTATCTGGACAGAGAAAAAAGTTAACAGTTACAAGCAACATATAATTACAAGTATGAGGGAAGCTCGTTGTAAGCTGCAGTGGAAAAAGGTTCCAGTAGGAAGTGGGCATTTGAGTAAAACCCCGGAGGGAACACTGAATCCTAAGACGCGGAGTGGAGACGTGCAGTGTATTTGGGGGAAGATGTGGAGAAGCCACAGATCAAGGACAAGGGCTTGATGCTGGGAAATGGCTAATATGTGAAAGTGTATACTTGCTGGAAAATACGTATTTCCCCATGTGTAAGATGCACCCTTTTTCGAAAAATTTGGGGTCTAAAAACTGGGTGCGTCTCATACAGTGGCTGTAGATATTTTTTACTTGCATTTCCCACTTTTTTTTACGCTTGTTTTTGCGCTCATACAACCACTGTATAAGATGCGCCCAGTTTTTAGACCCCAAATTTTTTGAGAAAGGGTGCATTTTATACATGGGGAAATATGGCACTCCCCAAAGCATTTGCTCACAAGCAAGGATTGGAAATAGGATAATTAAATTATTAAAAGTCTGAAGTTCAGGGTCAAGGCCAGGCGGGGTGGGAACTATGGGCAGGCAGTCATTTCACTGTATGGACTGCGATTCTCCACCAGTGCCTGCAGTGAGTTCTGCAAGGAAGCCCTGCCTGGCTCACCCCTTACCATGAACCCTATGGAGGAAGCCCTATAAACGTCATAGCTAAACTCCACAGGGCTAACTTAGTGTCAGTTGTGAGGTATAGCTCCTGTTATTCTTGCTGACAAACCCATTTATTCCCTGGATGCATCCTCAGTGTCCATGAAGAAGGAAGCTGTTTAAGGGTTAAGAATATCAGAATATCAGTGGTGGGGGCCGGCCGAGTGGCGCGTTGGTTAAGAGCTGGCTTGGGATGCCAGAGGGCCCCAGTTCGGATCCCACATATGAGGGCCAGTGACACCGCCCTCTACAGCTAAGATGCTGAACAATAGCTCAACCTGGAGCTGGGCTGCCGCGAGTCACCGGCGACGGCGTAGGCTGCAGCCCCTGTGGCAGTGGGTTGCCATGGGCTACCGTGTGTAGCCAGCAGCCAGCGTGAGCGGCCAGCAGCCGCAGTGAGCGACCGTCCAGAAGCCAGCGACTGATCTGCCTCGCCCAGGAGGAGTGCAATGATGGTGCCAACTTGGGCCAGTGAAGTGACATCCTCCACAACTAGACTGAAGAACAAACACGACAGCAACTTGTCTGTTCCCTTTCCCCCAATTCTCCAGCACTGTTCCCATCCCCCCAATTCTCCAATAAAAAAATCTTAAAAAAAAACAAAACAAAAGAATATCAGTGGTGGCATTCAGGTGTCAAACTATCTTTTGGGGTTAACTTACCTCGGTTCACTCAGAGGAACGGAATGTCTGAGCTGACAAGGATTTTAGACTACCTAACTCACAGTTTCTCAATTTGGTCACACAGTCTAGGGGCTTTGTGAGTTGTGGATCTATAAGGATTTTTAAATTTTGAGTTTTTTACTTAGATAATCCCTAGGAAAACAAGAATCAGGCCATATTCTGAATGACCCTCTTGTTACAAAATCCTGTTCTTTTAGTGCCTGAGGGTGTTGAGAACCACATTGCCAGAAAGTATTATGACTTTAATTATGCTGTCTGATGAACAAAGAAGAGAGGCAGCCTTCTGGGTGGAGATGTATTCGCATCAGTTGAAGTCCAGATGGTATTATGAAGCTATATGTGAACCAAGACTTAATGAAGTGGCAGTTTTAGTGGCCCTCCCCACTCCAATATCCTCAGGTGAACTTTGGAGTTTCCTGCCAGGTATTGCTCACACCCTGCCCTCTATTACAGGGACCGAGTTAGTCAGTGTGCCCCCTGGAAGAAGGTTCTAAAATGGCGGGTTCGCACCGGAGAGGGCTCAGTCGGAAACAAAAGGGCAGAGAGCAGAAGGAGCGAGGAGAAAATGAACATGTAAGTCTCTCGTGCTTCTGGAAGAGTTTGGCCAGGAAAATGAGGATGAGGAAGAAAGAAAGAGGACTTAGGCCAGCTTTGGTATGAAATGTTGAGAAAATAAAAGGAATACAGGAAACAGGATTTAAAAAAGAGCTGCTCCCAGTTATAAATGGGATCTTCTTGTATATTCTGGGGCCCCAGAAGAACGAGAACTCTCAGCTGGAGGCTTGGCTCCGCCTGGAATTAAATAGTGATCACGTTGGTTAACATCTTTCACTCATACTATTCATGTGAAATTTTAATGAAGGCTGGGTGTCCCCAGCTTCTGAGAGGCTTTGGGTAGTTTCCTTTCACGGCAGAAGAATGGCGTGTGGGGAGAGGAAGGGTGACTTGGAGAAGGCTGGCCAGGAGCAGGCTGCCCATCAGCGAGTGCTAGGCAGGGCACGACTCATGAACATTTATCCAAGGAAAAGTTTAAGGTACAACTCAAATAGGAAAAAAAGCCTGATTGGCTTGGGGAGATTCTGAGCATGGGTTGGGGCTCATTAAATAGATGACCCTTCGATGGAAAAATCTGCCATTTCAAGTTCATTTTGAAGCCTGATACTTGTCATGTTCCCGCTGCTGGTGGCTAGTTCTTCCTATAATGGCATTTTCAGGGGCTTTAAATAGAAGAGCGGAGTGTTCAAACCCCCTGAAACTGCTCCAGGTGGCTGTAGAGCTTTCAAAGAAAGGCTTTCTCCAAAGGAAGGGAATAAAAGGAAGGCTTCTAGAATTTAAAATTGGAGCCATTATGCTTTGTGCTTTTGGATTCTCCGTCACTATCTGTTGTTATATGATTGTTTGGCAGTTCAGGCAGGTTGACAGGGTTAGTCTGATTCCACAAGCTGTCTTGGTCATAGTGACAAAATGCTTGGCATGGATGCCGTACGAGTTCTGTTTACCATGAAGTGGAAAGGAGCTACGAAACTGGGCAAGAACTCAGCAGCAACACAACGCCATACTTCTTGGACAGCAAGATGGAAGCTCATCAAATTTCTCAGCCAGTTCTGAAGAGACTTTAAAGTCAGTGATTTTTCTTTTAAACTATGGTTAATAGTTCCAGTGACTGCTTTTTACTGAAAAGCGATCAAGGGACTATATTACAAAACCTACAGAAGAAACTAGCTTTTGGTAGACACAGTGATGTGCATATGCCCAGTTTTTCTTCTCTTTCTTTTTTAAAGCTTCTGAGTTTTTATGTTTTTGGAACAGGAACACTCACATTTGTTAATGAAATGCTGGAATTAGAGGGCTGGTGCTGCTCTAAATGCATGGCTCTTCTGACTACTTATGTTCCAGACACTGGAAGCAATAAAGAAACTGTTCCAAATATCTCTTTGTCATTGCCTGGAAGTGTACGTTTTCAAAAGACTGGCTAAAGGCAAAATCTTGTCTAATGATGATGCAGACTATTTTATCTATTTTTCCTAACAGTACAGTATGCCATGATGTCATTTGATCTTTACTTCATCCAAACATATCATTTATGTATTGTCTACCCTGTTTCTTTACTTTTCTCATTAGACCATGACAATTAAAGTAATGGTATTGGCATCAGTTCCATCATAAATACATATAGATGTCAACATGGACAATGAAATGACAAAGCAATCCTGGCTCAAACAACCGTAAGATAGCCATCTAGCTCAATATTTAAATTATATTAATAAGTTACAATAAAATAAAAACCAAAAAGAAATTTAAGTTTTTATAGAGAACTTGCAAACCTCTGAGAATATGTCTGTAAAACCCGGTGCTATTTGCCTACCCAGTATCCATTCTACCCTTCTTCCTTGAGGACCTTGATTTTTTAATTTTTGTTTTTTACTCCTGCCAGGTTACTTTACATCAAAGGGTATCTATTGGTATGGTTTTGACTAATGAGATATAAGCAGAAGACTGTTAGAGATTTCAGGGAAAGTTTTGCATTTCTTTCCTCCTCTATTCCTTCTTTTTTTCTTCTTGTCTAGAACTGGATGTGATGCCTGGAGGTGCAGTAGCCATTTTGCAACCATGAGGCAACAAGCATGAGAACAAAGGCCTACAGTGAAGGATGTTAGAATGGAAAGATAAATGAGCTTGATACCTGATGACATCATTGAGTCACATTATCAGCCCTGGATTTTCTACTCCTGGACTCTAGTTGTGGAGACTTCTATCTGTTTAAGTTACTGTAGCAGGGTTTTCCATTATTTGCAGAAAAATACAATCCTAAGCTATATTCCCAGGCTGTTCAAATCTGTTTACAGTTATTCTTTCTTTAGTAAAGCAAGGAAATAATTGACGGTCAGCTTCTGAATTTGACCTTTCCACAAAGTTATACACCATTATTAGCTTCCCTCAGTACCATTTCTTTGAGTTAACTGATTTCAGTGTCCCTCTGATTTCCTGTACCATCTAAAGTTTTGAAACCACACGAAACAAGAGTCAGGGTTCAGGTTAGGGGCTATCTTCAGCTAAGCATAATGAATGGTTGTAGTTTCAACTTGCTAACAATCTAATTGGACACCTGAAGTCATTGTTATTTCATTAAAAGAAGCATTTCGTGGCTGATTGTATGTAGTTAGCTAAATTATTTTGTGACATATCCATATGTCATGCTCCATTTGATTTGCAAATCATTTTTTTCTCCCTCAATATAGTCATTATTTAAACATTTAATATTTTGTTAATATGTCCTCAAAACAACCAGAATTGGCATAAATACTGATAGGAATTCAATGATTGAGATTTAATCATAGTGGTTTAAGATTATAGTTGTTACGTTTCAAATGAACTATTACTGTGTTCTTTATGTTATATTTATTATTTGATGTTTAAGTACCCTTGTAGCTATTACATGATAATGCCCTTATCTTTTCTGTTTTGAATATATATTTTTAACAATTTATGGTAACCTTATTGGAAGTGCATGCCTTGAAAATACAACAGACACACTTCATTTTAATTTGAAATTTTGTTATTGAGCTAAAGAAACCATAAAACTTAGAAGTCAGATCTGACTGTAGTCTTTTCCTCTTTTTAAAAGGGGGACACATCAGTGACTGGTGGGGTGTAAGGAAGGGTGAGTTTAGAACTTTTCATTACCCTCAAAGGAAACCCTGTCCCCATTACCGGTCAGTCCCCGCTGTCTCTCCTGCCCCTGGCAACCACTAATTTAGTCTTAGTTTTTATGTATTTGCCTTTTCTGCATGTCTCATATATATGTAATCATACAATACGTGCTCTTTTGCAACTGGCTTCTTTCACTTAACATAATGATTCAAGGTTCACCTATGTTGTACCATGTACCAATACTGAATTATTTTTTGTGGAATAATATTTTATTGTATGTATAAATCATATTTTATTCATCCATTTATCAGCTGATGGACATTTGGGTTGTTTCTACTTTTTGGCTATTATGAACAACGCTACAGGTTGTTGTGTGGACTGACAAAGACTCTCTCCTTGGCAAAACTTTCGTCAGGATCCTGAGCCCTCTTCTCAGCTAGGCCTCGACCTTGCCAAGCCTGCATAGTTCAGTTTCAGCAAGTATCCTGCTAAGTCAGTTTAGTAAGAATCCCCCACCCTTGACATCTAATCATCCCTGATACCTGATCAAATTCCTCAACCCCACTTTTGAGGTTTAAGTCCTTGATCAGCCTTCAGCAAGAATCCTATTCAGTTAGTTTAGCAAAAATCCCTCTACCTTTGATGCTCTTTTTAGTAATTTTTCATCCACTGACCCCCTCACTCTGCTCGTTAGTTATAAATCCCCACTTATTTTTGCTGTATTTGGAGTTGAGCCCGCTCTCTCTCCTATAGTGCTAATCTTGATACCTATTGCAGTAGTCCCGAATAAAGCATTCCATACCATTTTAACAAATGTCAATCATTTTTTTCTTTATTTTCATATATGTCCTATACATTTTCATTTCCCGTGGGGATATAATTGGGAGTGAAATTGCTGAATGACATAGTAACTTTATATTTACGTTTTGAGGAGCTGCCGAACTGTTTTCCAACATGGCAGAACCGTTTTGCATTCCCACCAGCCACATATGAAACATTGCAACTTCTCCGCATCTCTGCCAACACTTGTTATTGTCTGCAGAGAAATGTTTTAAAAACATAAAAGCCAAACATTAAGTTTAGAGTTTTGTTGCTATTCTATGCTATGATTTCCTCTGATCCCTCCAACTTCCAGCAGTCTTCTATGTCATAGTGGTGTGTGCAGCGGACTTCCAGAAAGGGGTGGGTGCCGGGCCCCATTTCCACAGAGGTCTAGTCCTGGTAGAAGAAAATGGGGCCACGAGTAAGACTTGGGTGAGGCTCATGCCAGGAGCAAGCACTGTGAGAACAGAGCCCCAGGGAAAGAGTGGTCAGAAACCAGTGGAGAATTGGGATGGGCTGTTTCAGTTGGTATCGGGGTGGCACCCTTAAGACTTGAGTAAAACCCTTGGAAGAGTCCTTGGCGCATCCTAGCTGCCCAGTCAGTGCTGATTTCTTCTCCTTGACTTTCTTTTACAAAAAAAAATCTTATAATAATATCCTACGTGTAAAAAAATAACTACGTTTGCAAGTCTCTTCAAAATAAAGGCCCTCTTCCTGAAAAAGTGAAATAACGTACCTATTTGAAATGAAATGGCTTGAATTTTGCTTAAAGTTTTGCAAATTTTGTTGCATTGTTGGTATAATTCAGTTTATTCCAGGAGGTAACACCACCAAAAGTAAGCGTAGCAGTTTCGCACAATATTCAGGCACTGTCTTCTTTCAGTCCTGTTCACCTCATGCTTCCTGGTTGCCTGTTCTGTTCTCAAAGGACAAGGAGGGAAATAAGAGAGAGAAAGAGCAAAGCCCCATAAGAATAGGAGTTAGTGTAGTCCCTTCCATGCACTGAATGCTTCACCAAGCGTGCTTATACGTGTGTGCACATATGTGCAGACCCTGGAACGCGTTCCCTAAGAACCGTGTGTACAAGATTATGAAAAGTCTTCACAACCCCCACAATGTTCTCCACCCCGGGGGGCTGGACACACAACAAACACGGTTGATTAGTTCTCTCAGCTTCTGCTCGCTCTGTTGTTGAAAGCTTCAATAACTGTTCAGCTTTTTTCTGATAATTTTTATTTTTTCATAAGTCAGACATGGAACATTTATTTTCTTTTGAAATAGGCTCTCATACAGACAGAATGTTGTAGATCAATTACTTCATTTAAAAGGATTTGTCTTTCCAAAAGTTGAAGAACAACGGCAACAACAAAAGAACCTATAATCTTACTGATTAAAAATTTTAACTGAAGTAAATTTTTTATAGCACTGAAAGTCAATGCCTTTGAAGTAGGAAGTAGATGGTTTTCCATGAAGACACAAAGCTTTTAATTAATATTCATGACAATTGGTATGTATAATTTTGGTCACTGGAGGACTACTGCAGTTTCCCATTGATGCAATAGAAATATATTGAGGACAGCGAAAAAGTAATTAACCACTGAATATGAGGGTCATAATGTTAAATTATTCCCTTGTTTATAGTCAGCACTACATGCATACAGAATTGTTGTCTGAAACGAAGACAATACTGAATGTCATATATTTCTTGTTCTCTGTGTATTTAATGCTTTTCTTGAACACAGATGACTTTGGGTGCAATAAGGGTAATTAAATGCGGAAGAGATCAAGCTTGAGTGTTGAGAGGAGTTTAGGAATAACGGCAACAGATATAATAATAGATAAAAGAAAAAGTCTGGGGCCGGCCGAGTGGCGCGATGGTTAAGAACTCTCTTGGGATGCCAGAGGGCCCCGGTTCGGATCCCACATATGAGGGCCAGTGACACTGCCCTCCACAGCTAAGATGCTGAACAACAGCTCAACCTGGAGCTGGGCTGCCGTGAGTCGCCAGCGACGGCGTAGGCTGCAGTCCCTGTGGCAGTGGGTTGCCATGGGCTACCGTGTGTAGCCAGCAGCCAGCGTGAGCGGCCAGCAGCCGCAGTGAGCGGCCGTCCAGAAGCCGGCGACTGATCTGCCTCACCCGGGAAGAGCGCAATGATGGTGCCAACTTGGGCCAGTGAAGCAACATCCTCCACAACTAGACTGAAGAACAAAACCACAGCAACTTGTCTGTCCCCCTTCCCCCAATTCCCCAGTGCTGTTCCCATCCCCCCAATTCACCAATAAAAATCTTTAAAAAAAAAAAAAGAAAGAAAAAGTCTGCTCTATTTCAGTTCCCTACTTCTGAAATGGAGAAAGTGTTATTTAAACTCAGAAATTTGGAGCGTTTTAGTGTTTGAAATAGTCACATGGAAATCTGTGTTCTGATCCTCTTTCTATCACTGACTTAAACTGGTGAGAATCGATAAACTATTTATGTGTTTATAGACCAGCAAATAAATACTCATTTAATTCCATTTAGTTCAGCTCCACGTAGATATAAAGCACCTCATTTTGTTTAAGGTTTCTGGTGGGACTGAAAGACTCAGTCCTCTTCCTCCAGAAGCTTGGGAAGAAACCTGTCTATGTGATTGTGGAAAGTGATGGTTCGCAGTGCCAACAACAGTCGGCACCTCTTCTCCCTTTGTTTTTGGTTGTTTTAATATGCTTTTCAGAAAGCTTTTTGATTATTAACAAGGCTGATCAATAAACTATAACTTGTGGCACATGATACTGCCCGTTTGAAAATATATGTTCTTTTTTTAGGTGCAGTGCTAACTTTTCTGTCCCTACGATTTGCTCATTACGTAATAAAAAATGTGAAAAAGCATGATTTTGCCAGGCACTAGGTGCCACACCAGAGCTGGCTGTACAGAGACGTTATTGCACAGATTCCAGTGCACTTAGGGTCAAACTGTAGCTTTTGAAGCATAGTATCTAAGAGAATTTACCAGCATGGGAACTTGTGTTTTGCAATGTGATTTTTTTTAATGATCCTAATCTTTCCAGGAGATGACATTGTATGTTTTACCGAACTCCATGTTCACTGCCTAAGTGAGTGGTGATGTAGGCTTTGAGTGGGAAGAGGAAGACAAAATGTGATATTGAAAGAAGCCTATGTATTTTAATTCTGAAATCCTTCGTGTGCTTCTTCGGGATGAGGTGGACAGCAAGGAGATGGTGGTGAAATGAAGTAGAAAGGGCAGAAAGCACCCCAAAGACCGACTTGTCTTGCCTCCACCCTGACTACGAGTTGGTGTGCTTCTAATTGTCACCATGCGCCAGCAATTTTAAACAATGCCAGTGGTAAAATATTTCCCAACAAAATAAAATATTTTGTTGGTCTAAGTGCTAAACAATTGCTGTGGGTACTGTTGAGTTCTATGAATATATATAAATATCTAAGATTCCAATTAAACATGTTTTTATTACCTCTTCTTTAATAAAATCTGGATACTCCATAGAAGTTTATTTGGAGAGGCCCCATTTGTACAGTCGGCCCTGACTCAGGCCGACTCAGCTGCAGGTGTTGGTCTGGAGGGTAAGGTCATGAAGGTTCGGAATTGTTCAAGCTCCCTTGGAGCGTAGTTTCTGTGTCCAAGCTCAGCAGTGCCTCATATTCCTTCTTTTAACCATCGCGCCACTCGGCCGGGCCAACAAATATTCCTTCTTTTAAACAGTAGCTT